GGTACCAGTTGCGAAGACATCACCTTCTATCTCAAGTAGTTTGTCATCATTTGGAGATCGTCCACCCACCAGTCCACAACCCAATTTTCCAAGGAACACTGTGGAACAGCCACCAGGTTTGCAGCAGTCGCCTCAGAAGTTCGTCAGGGGCAGGGTACTGCACAGAACACTCAGGGTGAAGCGTCGTCACAGGATGACAGGGATGTCTTTACTAAGAGTGAGAAGTGGCTTCCTCCATTGCCCAAGTGTGAGCATGGAACTTGGAAGACGTGTGAACAGGAGATTTTGGGTTTTGCCGGCTATGTTCAGTCTTTGAGAAGCTGGGTAGCATTGGCAAGTGATACGTTTGGGTGGGAGCTTGAAAGTGCGCTGAGTTGGCCGCACGAACTGCACATGACGAATCTGAAACCTGCACAGCAACTTCGTAGTGCCAGGTTGCTGGCCATCCTAACTCAGGCATTTGCAGAGTATCCACAAGCTCATATGATCCTACAGGCCTATTCAGAAGGAATTGGTATGGATGGTTCTTTTCAGGCAGTGCGAGGAACGTCTGGTTTTGAGGCGTTGCGTTTGCTTGCAAAGGAGTTCAGTTTGAGATCAAGAGCGGAAGCTGCATTTTTCAGGTCTGAGTTCATGTCCAAGACGTTTAAGGCACAGAGTGGCCCTACACAGATCAGTGATCTGGTCCGACAGATGGACGTTGGTTTGTCCAAGTATCGGAAGTTGATCGATACTTTGCCTCAGCATTGCGACAAGACTGGTTTGGATTTGCAACAGGTCGACTTGACGTTGATGTTGCTGAGATCTTTGCCCAGTGATGTGAAGAATTATGTCGTTTTGCATGCTTCAGGTGAAGGCTACACTGATTATCGCACAGCAGCTCTGAAGTTTGAACAGCAACAACGTTTGTTTCAGGAGCTTGGTGCGGGATCAGGGCGAAACGTGCACGCCTTGGAAGCCGAAGGTGGCTGGGAAAGCTACTATGGCTACGAAGAGGAGCAGGACTACTATGCCGAGGGTGCTGAAGAGGAGTGGGAATGGGATCCAGAGAGTGAGCTGTGGCTCAACACTGCCGCAATCAACAAAAATTCAGGAGTGAAATGTCGAAAGTGTGGCAAGACTGGACACATGCAGAAGGATTGCAGCACGAATATGGGTCGTGTGAAGTGCTTCAAGTGCGGACAGAGCGGGCATATTGGTGCGAATTGCCAAGCCAGCAGTCCGAAGTCTGCAAGTTCATCTCCGTCTTCGAGCACTGGGAGAGGTTCAGGTGCAGCCAAGGCCAAGCCTGCAGCGAAAGCTGGACGAGGAAAAGGTGGTCGCAAAGGAAAGATGCATGAAGTTTCAGCCGAAGGACCTCAAGAAGAAGAGCAAGAATCTGGAGAAGCGATTATGATGCCGCTCATTTCATCACAGGTTTCAAGTTCAGAGGGAACTTGGTGGTTGTTAGATTCTGGAGCTGCCACATCGGTGCTGTCGCAGAACTATGAGGGCATGTATCGTTGCCAGGCTCAGGAGGATTCGGCAGGAGCATTGGAAACCTACTATGCAGGGAATGGGACTCCAGTTCACATGAGGGCAAGTTCAGCCACGAACACCTTCACCAAAGAGAGCAGTGGAAGAGATGGCTCGCGATGATGCTGCAGCCCGAGGTTCAGCACCTGCGAAAGCCGAAGCGGCTAAGGCAGCACCAGCAGAGACTATGGATCTTGTGACTCCAGTTTCAGAACATGGTGAACCTCCTCTTGTTTCAGTTCCAGGTCATGGAAGACTGTCTGCAGTGACGGTTCATGGACCGCCAGCGACACCAGGAGTGAGCTCTGCGGCACCGACTCCAACTTCTCCGGCAGGAGACTCCGTCGTTGCAGAGGGAGCACCAGGACCGAGCTCAGTCCACTGGTCGCAAGCTCAGGTGATATCACCGTTGCCACCGACACCGCCACCAGCACATGTTGGATCGGAGATGGAGGTTTGTGTGGCATGCCAAGGGAGTGGATTGCTGAACTCGCAGGTGAATCTGCGATTGTTCCGACTTATCGGAACAGGGCAGCTCCGTTTGGCGGGGCAGACTGCCCAACTCGCACCTGCGACCCCAGCTCCGGCAGCTGCAAATCCCACCGGGCCTGGTAACTCAGGTAGATCTCGTACTCCAACTTGTTCAGGTGTTTGCAGTGTGACTGAAGATGGCAGTATGACCATGTTTGATTCAGGTGGAAATCTTTTGATTTTGGAACTTGCTTGCGGTGTTGACTCAGTGATTCAAAATGCTTCTAGGGAGTTTGGATCCAGTTACATTGGAATTCATGCCGGTTTGGAGCTTCTTTCAACTCAACGTCAGGCCTATAAGTTCTTGAAGAGCTTTGCTGAGGGATCTTCCGGTAGTGCGGATTCACAGAAACTGATTCAGATACACATTTCTCTTCCCTGTGCTGGGGGTAGCCCTTTGTTGGACTTATCCAAGAAAGACAGGAAACCTGCTCAGGACGCATATTTCACGCTTCTTGATCATTGCAAGAGATATGTTTCATATATCAAGGGCATGAGCAATGTGTGTAGTGCTGTGACTCTGGAGCTTCCGAAATCGAACCGTTTTTGGTCAGACGAGAGATTGAAGAAGTTTCTAACTGACCACGACATGCAAAAGTTTGCGGATTGTGCTGCATGTGCCATGGGTTTGGAAACTAGTCAGGGACAACCTATTGGTAAAGTCTTTCGCATTGCATGTTCGGATCAAGTACTTGCCACAGGTCTTGAAAGGAGATTGCAGTGTAAGTGTACTCAGGACCACGCTCCATTGAATCAGGTCAACTATTCGATGACGGAAAGATACTCATATAAGTTTGCCAGATTCTATTGTCGTGCCACTGCACTTCGTTGGATTGATTAATAGGAAGAAACATCGTGATTTTGTTTGTCATTGACTGCAGTTTGCATTTCATGTCAGCAGTTTGACTTCAGGAAAGCACAGTTTTCTTTTTCAGCTGAACCGTTCAGTGGAATTTGCATGTTTGCATGGTTCACAGCGGATTCAGGGACATTCGATTGTCAGGCACAGTTTTCAGTGAAGACTTCACTAAGTGAATTCTCAGGTTTTGTCATCAGGAATCAGGCGATGACATCAGTATAGATTTCAGGAGCCTATCAACTCCGTTGAGAGAGTGCTCGCATCAGGACGCCCACACTCCAGTTGTTTTGTTCTGTCGTGTATGTGTTTTCTTTTTCGTGTAGCCCGGGCCGGCCGCGCCGCGTTCGCCAGCCATGGATGAGCTTCTCATTGTGGTGCTTTTTTCTGCATTGACTGGAGTGATGATTGGATCTTTAGGGACAGTTGTGACATTTTTGGCTTTGTGGAGCACTGGAACGTAAGACAGTTATTGAGAAAGTTAGTCCAGAGTTGAGGGATGCGACAATTCAGGCTGAATATACTCAGGCTACATCAGGTGGAACGTCAGACTTCAGACAAATGCACAGAGCTCAGACTTCGTCTTCTTATCATTTGTACATTGGAACTGTTGAGCTGTGTTATCATCTCGATCGCCGTTGTCGTTGTTATCCAGATTGGGACAATGCGAAGAGAGGACTTACAATTTGTGAAATCTGCCGTATTTCATCTTCGACTTTTGAGATTGGGCAAGGGATTTTGTTTCTGAACAAGGACAAGTTTCATTTGACCCGATTCTGTCGTACTTTCAAGAGTCTACCGGTGACTGAATATGCAAGGTGCACTGCATGTTGTACAATGGAACATTCTACACAGGTTTTATTCGGAGATTCAGTACCTCGCCAGCGAAGAACTGCTTCGTCAACTTCTTCTATTGCAGGTATGTCAGAGGACTAGATTTTTCTGGATTGTGATGGGACGCCATGACTTTCTGGATTGCATTGCATTGCATTGACTGCACTACGTATTGGACGAAGACTCCATACTGACCTCTCATCGAAAGGGGGTGTGAAAATCCTACCTGGTATAGCGCTGAGAGATCAGTGACGTTGCACAGTTTTGATTTCACCAAGTATCGTCTGTGGACGAGCCTATTTCGACGTGGAACGATTGTGAATGGACAGATCGTAGTTTGTAGTTTTGATTTGACCAAATATCATCTGTAGAAGATACTTTTAGATGTTTTTGGATGATCGATGCTTCATAGAGCATCTCGTGACACTCAACGAGCACAACCGACGCTGCGGTTGCACTCGTCTCGTTTTGTAGTTGAGAGTTGTGATGTTTTTGTAGGAAACCGAACATTATTTGAACAGTTTGGAAATATTTCAACAGTTTGAGAACCGAATGAAAACTTTTGATCCTCAGTGGATCGCTTTTCGGAATTTCGTCAAGACTGGAATCCAGTTTGCAGTTTAGACAAAAACCCCTCCTTGGTTTTTGTCACCTTTAAACAGTATTTGAACTGAACACCCAACGACATTCGTTGGCTCAAGCCCGAGCGAGAGAAACAGAGCGTGTGTTGAAGCGTTGCTTGTTGTCTGGAGTGATTTGAGCGAGAGAGCACGGAAAGTTTGACTCACGTTTGTGTAGTTGTGGAAAAGCCTTTGGGTAACTTAAATCGCGATAGGTTTTGTTTTGGTTTTCAAGGCACAACTTAGCGGTGCAAAGTTTTACGAGGCGCGCAAAAATGGGCCTCCCCAGTTCATTATTCCAGCCGCAGCTGTTGCTGGTCAAATCAGCTTGTTGAGTCTCATGGAACATGATACCACCTTATTTTGAGAAGATATGTGGAGTGAACTTTAGTAAACGTCTGCACACGCATGACCTCATGAACCATTTCAGACTTGTCCAACATCCGCTGCCCTTTATCATTCCAGCTTCATGTGAAGCGTTTCCAGGCAAGTGCCGGAAAAAAGAACTACATGTCATATCATGCCCAACATGGTTTTGCATGATTTTGACATGTCCACTTTTATCAGATTACATGTTGTCAACAGTATCACACGTCAACAACATGTTACCTTTATTTTCGAATGCCCCGTGAGCCACGTCAGCGAGCCATTGCAAAAGGCCACGTCGCTATCAGAGCTCCACTTCATCTTGGACGACCTGAGTTTTGTCCTTCATCCCAATTCACCTTCCAAGCTTGGTTGTTGGGAACAATCAGTGGATTTTTGGCAGCAACAGTACTCTTTCTGTTCTGGCTTTTTCAGCTCGACGACTAATGGCTTTGCCGACTGTACTTGACCTCGCGTCCAACCAGACATCGCTGCGGGTGCAATTCTCACAGGAGCCCGAACACGCTCCGCCCATACTGGATCAGATCCTTCCCTTTTTAGGATGTGCAGGAACCAATTGCGAAATCAACGACTACGTCCTGCCGATGGCCACTCATCCATACTTCACGCTGGCTCCAAGCATTGAATCGGTCTTGAGCCGTTGGACCCCATGGGACACTGACTTGTCCACGGACTACCGATATCATCTCTTGGTGACCAATGTGGAGCTATACGGACGTATGGTCGAACATTCAGCTCGACATGGACATTCCATCGTGCTTTCTGCATCCGCTGACCCAGCCCACAACTCAGTTGTACACGTTGAGATCCACCTCCTCAACCAGACCGAGGTGGTCGAGCTTTTGGCCAGGTTATATCGCGAAATGCGCAACAACAAAACAGAGATCGAAACTCTGCGACGTGAGCTCAACGAGCTACGCAATCGTTTTGGAACAGCCCTCGAGAACCTTGCTGCCTAGCGAGAAGAGCTCGCGCCTTTGTTGGGGCTGACGCAGCCGCATCCCAATGTGCCACCTGCAGACGACGGCCCTGCATAGGCTTCAGTTTTGGACATTTGCCTTCTTTCTCCATTTACCTTATTTAGAGAGCTTTTGCGCCGTGCGCGCTCCACCACAACATGCACATGTCAAAAAGTTTCATCGGGGGTATGTGGCGCCTTTTCGAACTTGTGCACAATTCCAGAGCTTCAGATTCAATGCAACATCACATGTGTGATTGATTCAGTGTAAGACTTGGGATTTTCATGTCTCATCCTTTCTGATGGATCATCAATGCATGCTATGAAGGCTCAAGTGAGCAGTTTTGGTTACAGGGCGGGAGAGAGGTTCCCCGATTCTTTTGGCAGGGTATCGACCTCATTGGTGCATCACTGAATTTCGATGTCAGACGTTCGGTCAAGTGACTGAAACTCGAATCTTCATGTCATTTAGTTTAGCAGAGTGCTGAACCAGTGATAGCTTTATCATCTTTCAGGTGTGTTGGACGTCGAGTGACAGTCTCAGCACGCCGATGGGAAATGTTGTACATCACGGCATGACAAGTGTCTGCTTGTGGTCACTCAATTTTGGGAACATCTCTGCGATTTCAGGCCTGAATCATTGGTCCTGCACAAGTGTGCGGCAGAAGATTGGAGCATAGGCCTGAGTTGGGGTATGAGTCATTTCCACAAGTGTGGAACATGGAACATGTTCTTCCAGACCCAGGGTCTCTCTGTAGTAGGCGAGACAGATTCATCATTTACTTCCAGGTCACTACGTGGCGAAGCTTCGAGTGAAGCTGAGGCAAGTGCCCCAACGTTTGGATTCTTTTTAGATGTCTGACGTTGAACCTCAAGTGAGGACTTGCCACCTAACTCTCCTTTGATGTCAAGGAGTTCTGGAATGAATTGATTGAAATCTTGCACAGGTGGGAAGAACGTGAGTTTAGTTTCCCTCTCAGAGCGTCGAGCCCTCCACAATCTTTTTGATACTCTCATTTCAGCTCGAAGTGAATCTTTTCATCTGACCATCAGACTGGTTTTTATGAGCGCATAGTGGCTCGACGGCATCTCAGGTGAATGGACCTATCCGAAAGGGAGGCAGACATCTGAGCCCCGTGAGCCCCGACTTCATGTCATCCGAATCCAAGACAGTGGGCTCCAGCCAGGAAGCCGAAGTTGCATCCGTCGATTCTGACTCCATCCGTGTTCCATTGCCTGTAGGGATAGACGATTTGCCTTCGTTTGAAGATGCGTCCAATGAGTTGACTCCTTCTGGGGGTGTTGATGATGGGTCTATTTCTGAATGTCCAGATTTTGAATCCGGTGATTTGAGAAAGAGTTCCCAAGTTGGTGATTTGGACCCCTCGGAGAAAGCAAACCTTCGAGCCATGATAGGCGATAGCTCGTTCGGAATAGGCCCCACTCTGAAGTTCAAATTTCCTTGGGAAAGAAAAGGAATCGCAAACATTCTTCAGAAAGACAGGAAACCGATCATGCCGGTGCCAGTTTTGCCCGTGCCGATCCTAACTGCTCTGCCCTCTGAGTCAGCTCATAGACAGACGTTTCTCCCTTCGGCTAGGACTTGTCGAGGGGCTTTCAGTGAAGTTATCAATTTCGGAGTTAGCATGTCTCAAGAGGAAGTCGATGACAAGGCCGTAAGACAGGCCCTTGAGAAGTGGTATATAATTTTCTCATCCTCTGAGGAAAGTTGGCCGAGAGGCTTCGACCTGAGAAAATCCATCCAGGAGCACGATTTAGACAGCTTGAAGATCGTTTTTGGAAACCGAAGCGCCAATACCATCTTGAGAAGAGGGTCCAGCATTCTTTCATTTTTCAAGTGGTACAAAGAGAAGTATTTCCATTTGGCGCCTTTTCCAGCTACGCCGGATTCCATAGAGGAGTTTTTGATGTACTTGAGAAACAAGGGCAGACCTGCCTCGGCCATGCACGGTTTCATTGAAGCTCTCAATTTTTGCCAGCATTTCTTGGGAATCAATGTAGCAGGCGGGGAACAAGTTGCGTCGCCCAAAGCCTTGAGGATCCTGGAAGCTTCTGACGCTAACAGATCCGAAAAGAAACAAGCTCGGGTTCTGACCGTTGCAGAAGTAGAGAAGTTGGAAATGTGCCTTGTCAACGAGCAGATCAGCATAATCGACAGGGTAGCGTGTGGTTGCATGCTTTTCTGCTTGTACAGCAGAAGTCGATGGTCTGATTTGAAGAAGATCTACGGTTTTCAAAGTGACATAGCTGAGCAATTTGGGAAAATTTCAGGATACATAGAGTGCCGCACACGATCCCACAAGACAGCTAGGTTAGTAGCTCGGAGTGGACTGGCCATGCCGTTAGTTGCACCTATTTGGGGCGTGACGTCTCCCCCATGGGGACTCACTTTTCTTAGGTTGTGCGAAAGCGCCAATCGGCCTCTCATGAAAATCGACTTAGCACCACTTCTGGTGGCCCCAACTCCAGAAGGCCAGTGGACTGACAGGGCAGTGACAACGACAGAAGCAGGTAAGTGGCTCAGGAACCTGCTGAGAACTTTCTTGCCATCCACGGAACACACCACCATTCATACCATGAAGGCAACACCATTGTCATGGTGCACCAAGTGGGGTGTGGATCCGTATGACAGACAGCTTCTGGGGCATCATGCAACCGGAAAAGCCTCGGCAGAATGCTATGGCAGAGATAACTTGGCTAAGCCTCTTAGGGAGTTCGAGACTGTCTTGCAGCAAATCAGGACCAGAGCCTTTGTTCCGGACGCTACACGTTCGGGCATGATGCAGACATCCGAGGTCACTGATCCAATAGAAAATTTTCAGGGAACGCAACCAGATGATCGAGCATTGGAAGGCACAGAGAATAATGAAGACTCGGATCTCACTTCAGAGTCGGACGTACAGGGACCCGGCACCAGCTCTGACGAGGATGATCTTGACTGTGTTGATTCAATGTCTGCACCACGCCAGTGGGCACCCGACACAACCATGTACCAGAATTGCAAGAGCAAAGTTGTTCATGTAGTTGCCAAGGGAGGTGCGCCCTCCTTCAGTTGTGGAGTCCAAATCACTAGTGGGTACAAAGAGATCGCCGAATCAGCGTTCCTTGACATCCGCCGATGCAGGAGGTGCGCAATCGCAAGACCCATCAAGACGGTGGGGCAATTTGCATCCGCGTCAAGAAGATGCGTCTGGGAGAATAAAAAGGTGGGGAGTGCCACTTGTAGCACGTGTCTAGAGTGAAACGTCCACACTTCAACATGTTGAGGTCCTGAGTGGGGGCTTCACAATCATACTGAACACACGCATGATTTCACACGTCAGGCTCCAAGTGGAGAGCTACAAATTCATTTGCTGCCTTTTGCATTCTTTACACTTTTCTGAAGATAAGTACACATTTTGAGTGGGAACCTTGCACGGGGAGTGCCACTTGTAGCACGTGTCTAGAGTGAAACGTCCACACTTCAACATGTTGAGGTCCTGAGTGGGGGCTTCACAATCATACTGAACACACGCATGATTTCACACGTCAGGCTCCAAGTGGAGAGCTACAAATTCATTTGCTGCCTTTTGCATTCTTTACACTTTTCTGAAGATAAGTACACATTTTGAGTGGGAACCTTGCACAAGTGTGCTACTGTTCTGAAACACCGTGAAATCCCAAGTGGGCATCCACGATGTGTCATGTGCGAATGTTTCTTCATCTGCAGCCAGGGCCAAGTGGCCATTAATTAGCTGCACACGCACACGCAGAATCAAAGACATTTTCCACTTGTTCCACACTCACAGATGACACATTGATATACATTCATGCCAGACAGCACATTGACAACACAGGGTAGGCTTCGACCAAGGATTTCGTGTTGCTTTTGTTGCCAGCCAGCTCGGACATTGCACGGCAGCCATGAGCACCCTTCTTGAATCGAAAGAAGCGCTGCGAGCGCGAGCCTTGGAGGTCAATCTGACAGAGGCCGAAGCCGATGCCCTGATCAACAATCGGGTAGACTCTCTAGCTCGTTTAGCTTTCGCTGCGTGCCCACCAGGTGAGTCCCCGACCGATGAACAAATCAATGGCATTTTTGGAACAGCCGTTGTGCCTAACCAGGGAACATACGCTTCCATCAGGAGGCTAATCTTCGAGGCACAAACACTCCTATCGGCTGAGCTCCAAAATAAAGTGCACAAAACCGATGACCAAATCAAGACAAAGATGGCGCCGGCAGAGCGCGAGAATAGGATCAAGGATCAAAAGACTAGGCTTGAAGGCATCAGGTTCAAAGGAGAGGAAGAATGCAGTTTTCAAAGTTATGACACTGTGCTAGGAATGTTGGAAAAAGACATCCTGACTTATCTTGGACCAGAGAAATTCGCCGCTCGGAGACAAGAGCTGCTTCAAAAGAAATCAGCCAAAGAGGTGACGATTGACCAGTCGGCTTTAGTGATCAAGGACAAGGCCCAGGATATTTTGTGCTCCACCACTACTGAACTGGAGACCGTCAATGCAATGAAACGAAGATCACTGGCCTTTGACATTGCTCAGGTGTGTTCTTTTCATTCCATCAATGCATATTGCGCCGACCTCTTTGATTATTTGCATCATCCTCCGCCTCCAGGATACTCACCAGTAAGCCTCACCCAAGTGTTGCGTGCAGACCGAGCCGCCTTCCTGTGGATGTCAGAGCAAATGAATACCCTCAAGCGAGACTCGCATGGAAAATTGCCACTAGATGAGCAGTTATCCAGAGTCTTGTCCCAACCAAGCGTATCCTTCCATCTTTTGCCTTTGCCTGTGACAAAAGGATCAGTCGAGAAGCCATCCGCAAAGCCAAAGTCAAAGCCAGACCCGAAAAGATCCCGATCACCGCCAAGGAGCACAGGGGTCGATCACCATCAAAAAGGCAAGGGAAAAGGGAAGCGTGGGAAAAGAGGGAGAGGTCCCAACGTTCCAAAACAGCTCATCAACAAGACACTGCAAACAGCCGAAGGAGAGAGGCTTTGTTGGCCATTCAATTTGGAACAAGGGTGCCGCGACGCAAAGCCCGGTGACAAGTGCCCAAGGGGGCTTCACCTGTGCAGTGAACCCGGGTGCCTGAAACCCCACAGCATGCAATCTCATAAATGACAAATCTCGTCGGGTGACCCGAT